AAAAAAAAAAAAAAAAAAAAAGCGATTCTGCTGTGTCTGATTGTGTTGTGTCCTATATGTGAGATGGTTTGCACTTGAGACTGCCACTGGGAGACGACGTGGAGTGAAATGAGAGAAGTACAGTTGGCTCTTGTATCTGTAGGTTCCCCCTCTGTGGATTCAACCAACTCCAATTAAAAAAATAGCATTTTTAAAAAATTATTGTGACTACACCAAACTTGTACAAATCTTTTTCTGTTCATTATTTTCTAAATACAGTTTTTACAACTATTTACATAGTATTTACGTTGTAGTAGGTAATCTGTATTCAAAGTATCCAGAAGAGGGCGGCACCTGTGGCTCAAAGGAGTAGGGCACCGGCCCCATATACGGGAGGTGGGGGATTCAAATCCAGCCCCAGCCAAAAACTGCAAAAAATAAATAATAATTAAAAAAACTGAACAATTATAATAAATAAATAAAGTATCCAGAAGAACTGGCCACTGTAGGTCAGTGGTTAGCCCCACATACCAGGGGTGGCAAGTTTGAGTCTTGCCTGGGCCAGATAAAAAAATTAATAAATAAAGTATATTGGAAGATACACATAGGTTACACACAAATACTGTACCATTTTATATAAGAGTCTTAAGTATGCATGGATTTTTGGCATTGGGGTGTCCTGGAGCCAGTCCCTCACAGAGGACACATATGTGGCCCCCCACACACACAATGAAGGATGACTGTACATTAAAGTGGTTTGTGAATTCAAGTCTCTGTATGAATTGTATGACAGTGATAGGGCAAGTGAGTATACTGTTGAGGCTTGAGGTTGATGTGTGTGTTTTAAAGGATTATAATCGAGTAGGAGATCTTGTGAGATTTGATATGATTCTGTGTGTGCTTGAATATGACTTAATGTGAGTTAAAATCAGAATGAAAGATAGTGTGTGAGGTTATCTGAATGTAGTAACTACATAAGAGATTGCAAGGATCTGGGACTCATGGATACTGTGCATTGAGGGAAAGGAAATAATCAGACCTTCAAGGATTACTTTTTGAGGGAGTTTTGGCAGAAGCATTTCATGTAAGGAAGGCAAACCCATATTCTTCTTTGGACTGGACTATTTCAGTAAGAAAAGAATATTGCTGCCTCTCTGATGGAAAACAGTTTGATGCAATCAATCTGCAACCAGAAAATGGGGCCATACTGGGCACACAGTGTTGGTTTCTTCACAGTCACCATAGTATATGCTATAGGTACCTCTTGGAAGGCTAGCACTTGGGGAGGCCAAGGCAGGAGGATTGATTTGAGACCATGAGTTATACCAGCCTAAGCATAAGTGAGACCTCATGTCTACAAAACAATAGAAAAATTAGCTGGGATTGGTGGCACGTGCCTATAGTCCCAGCTGCTCAAGAAGCTGAGATAGAAAGATCAAAGGAGCCCAGGAGTTTGAGGTCACAGTGAGCTATGAGATATCACCTTATACCTGTTACATTGGCTGTTATCAAAAAGATGAAAGGTAAGTGTTGGAGAAGATGAGTAGAAAAAGGGAATCTTGCACAATGTTGGTTGCACTGTAAATTAGTATAGCTATTTTGGAAAACAGTATGGAGGTTACTATATGATCCAGCAATCCCACTACTGGATACCCAAAGGAACTAAAATCGGTATGTTGAAGAGATGTCTGCACTGTCATGTTCATTGTAGCATGTTTCACAGTAATCCCAACACGGAAACAAGCTAAGTGTACATCAGTCAATGAGTGGGTTTATAAAAGGTGGCATATACACACAATGGAAAACTATTCAGCCTTTAAAAAAATAACCAAGAAATCTAATCATTTGGGATAACAAATGAACCTAGATGCATTATATTAAGTGGCATAAGCCAGAAACATAGAGACAAATACTGTATGATCTCACTTACAGGTGGAATCTAAAAAGTCAAATTCATAGCAGTAGAAAGGTAAACCGGAACCTGGAGTGGGGTGGGGTGGATGGAAAAAGGAGAAATGTTGGTCAGTGGATACAAAGTTTCAGTTATGTAACAGAAATAAGTTTTGGTGTTCTACTGCATAGACAGTAACTATTATTCATAATAATATTTCAAATAGCTTAAATGGGATTTTTTTTTTTGAGACAGAGTCTCAATCTGCTGGCTTGGGTAGAGTGTGGTGGCTTGGCTTGGCGTAATAGCTCACAGCAACCTCCAACTCAGCTCAAGCAATCCTCTTGCTTCAGTTTTTCTACTTTTAGTAGAGACGGGGTCTTGAGCAATTCACCCACTTCGGCCTCCCAGAGTGCTAGGATTACAGGCCTGAGTTACTGCGCCTGGCCACTAAACAGAAGATTTAAAATGTTCTTACCACAAAGAAATGATAAATATGTGAAGTGAAGGATATCCTAATTATCTTGATATTATCATTCTACAATGTATACATGTATGGAAACATCATGTTGCACTCCATAAATATATACAGTTATTGTCAATTGAAAATGACGGCTTGGTGCCCATTAGCTCAGCAGTTAGGGCGCCGGCAACATACACCAAGGCTGGCAGGTTCAAACCCAGCCTGGGCCTGCCAAACAACAATGACAACTACAACAAAAAAATAGCTGGGAGTTGTGGTGGCTACCTGTAGTCCCAGACTTGGGAGGCTGAAGTAAGAGAAACGCCCAAGAGTTTGAAGTTGCTGTGAGCTGTGACACCACAGCACTCTACCGAGGGCAACATAGTGAGACGCTGTCTCAAAAAATAATGATAAAAAGAAAAAAGAAACAGAGAAACCTAAAGCAACAGTGTCCACTATGAGCATTTTATTGTAAATCATTTTACCCTCCTGTGCATAGACTTACTTACCTTTAAAAAATAGAATCAGCTAAATGTTACTATTCCGAAGCCCACTTTCCTCATCTAACACCAGTGAACATTTTCCCATGCCAACAGGTAGTGGTCTACATTATGCAATCTAATAGCTGTATATATATATATATATATATATATTTTTTTTTTT